TACCAAGCACACTTTTTATGTAGAATCCAGATGAGCCTTGTCTATGCCATCTGACTCCCTAGAGTAGTACACCTGTGATGGGCTGATGGGATGTATCGATCACCTGCAGCTAATCATTCCATAGTGTGTCCTCCGGGGGCTGATGGGAACCGTTTTCCCACTTCTTTTTTAATTATTGCCAGGGCCCCATGGGCACTAATCCATGAGTCTTGCTCTGATATTCGCCTGATGTATGCTGCTTTGATTTCTCTGACCCTACAAGGAGTGAAGAGATTGGAAGACGCTACTGGAATCTTAATGCTCAATGCAAATCTCTGTGGAAGACTTCACTGCAAAGAGAGATGTGGGAGATCAAAAGAGACTCGCACAACACATAGCAGTGTTTTGTTATGCATCAGCTGCTTTGTTTCTTTGAAGAGACTCAGGCATATGAAGTAACTTAAAAGCTGATGAGTGTTCAGTGGCTGCTACATCTAGTTCACTTTGCATATAAATTACAATGCAAAACTGCATAATACAATTAATCATCATTCTGGTTAGCAATCTAGCATATGGAGGTGTATATATGTGAGAATACTAGCTATAAAAATACACGGTACAGTTAATCTTCATTTCTTTTCTCATGAGGCCAGGTCAGCAGCGTTTTTTTCAAAGATCCTATTAATTTTTTTCCATAATTGTGTAAGAATGAATAAGCATGTTGTTCATTGCTTCAAAGAAAGCATCTTCAGTTATGAGCAGTAGCAGTATCCATATGGCTCATCACATATGTATTTCTCAAGTCAATTAAATTGTCTGGTCATTAGGATGTGTTATTTAGATTAGTTTTCATATGTTCCTTTAAAGTGTACATGGTGTCGTAGTATTGTGTGTTCACAAACAGATTAACTTAAAATTTCATGCATATGATATTCTGTTCATTTTCATGTAATAAAATAAAAATGTTCTTTTCATAACAGACTGTCATATACATATTAAAAAAATCATAAATATGGCAACATTTTTACTCTGACCTGTACTCTGAACTTTAACCTATGCATGCTGTTTTTAATGTGTTCGTGCTGGACGTACTATGTGGAGAGTTTGTTTTCTGTAAGCTCTAAATACCACAGAATATGAGAAAAATTCGAATTTGCTCAGTGATCAGCTGCTGTTGATTTAAATGATCCCTCTCTCCTTTCATCCTCTCTGTGCTGGTCTGTAGATAAGAGCAACTTGGGCTGAAGAGAGGGCACAGGGTCTGGATCCAGCGGTTTCATGTGCTCAGCCAAATCACAACAGTTTTGAAGGTAAACAAGCACATAGTTCTGCATAAGCGTTAATGTATGTCAGCCCGGTCATGCCTGCAAAATGAAGCCTGACACGCTGATGTGAAGGGCATATGTAAATTAGCGTATGTATGCTCTCATTAGTAATCATACATATTTGTAGGTAAAGTGTGGTTCTAGCACACATTTTAATATGTTCACATAGGCATAAAAATAGTCAAAAAATGCATGGTACATATTACATATGAACAGATTTGGAAATGTTTACAAAACCTTTTAGGTTAATAGAATATAGCATTCAAGGTGTTAGTAGATTTATTTTATTGTATCTAATGAATGTGCTTAATTTAAAAATATATATGTTTACAATGTCTGTATAATAGTATGTTGTAACTAAAGTTATTTTCACTTTACAATGATCTCTTTACAATTATTTTATTGTAAATTATGTAGTTTATTTTATGTTGTTGGTTAGCTGATGGTTAGGGTTGGTGTTAGGAGCTCAAAAATATCAACATAATATAAAATATAGTTGTACATATTTGTTAAATAAATATAATGTAAAAGAGTCAGAAGATTTTTACATTTCTAAAACGGTGCATCTGTAAATAACATTTTAATTACTGTCAATAAATGAGTATCCAGACATACGGAAATGTATGTGTAAATGTTACATACGCATATCCATGAATATTAATGAGACTACCAGAACTACCAGAGATTGGTTGCCAGGGAAAACATTCAAACATACAGTTTAACAGTCATATTTGAGTGCAGAATGCTGCTATTGATTAATCAGAATCAAGTCTTTCAGCGAGCAGTGTAATAAAATGGCATAACAAATAGAGGAAATTAAAGCCACCTTTAAACTATCTTGTAACTATACTTGTTTCAAATGTGATAAAAGAACAATACGCCCATTGATGGTGTTGATAAACTGCCATACGGCCAATTAAAAACAGCCGTTCCAATTCACTGCCTACTTTTATCAAGATAAAACACAATATACTGACTCAACAGCTCAGCATGTTTGTCCTCGGTGTTGATAAACTGCCATACGGCCAATTAAAAACAGCCGTTCCAACAATTCCACAGAAGACCACAGAAGACTTCCCCAGAGCCTCACAAAGATCCATTTCCTCTTGCTGCATGCATGTGTTTGGCACCAGAGATTGAGCTATTGGACAGGGTGCTGAGTGTCCACCCAAAGAGGGTAATGTCTCCCTGTTGCCACTGGAGCTTAACGCCTGCTCAGCATCTCAGAGGCCCAGACACACCTATTGAGCGCTTTTATCGTAGCTTGGCTCTCCTCGTTTGAAACAATATAGGCTGACTGCTGCTATTGATTTTAGCGGATTGTACTGTGCTTTCCTCTGAGTCTGTCTGCTATATTAAGAAATCATTCGTCCTCCTGATGGCAAAACTTCCTCCTGAGGCAACGTGCAGGCCTCTAATAGCCCTAGTATTACTCATGTTAATTGATTGGGTGGCAGTGAGGGGTTGAGGAGGAGAGAAATTATGGCCCTTTTGAGAAGAAATCAACACAAGTGGCAGTAATTAGCGAGGAGAGAAACTAGCTGTAATTGAAAGAGCCTCAGTCATCGACTATTCTTAACAGCAGCCTAAAGGAGCGCACGGGAACGAGTGTAATCGAATGCTCCGTGTCTATAGATTTCCCTTCGGCAGAAAATTCACATCAGATGGTGAAGAAATTAAGATATGTGTGTTTGGACTTGGGATGTATGTGGTAATGTTCATCCTTGGCAAGCCTGTGTTGTTAAACTCCCCACGCTGAAGACTTTGGAAATGCACCCTGTTAAGTCTGGCGAGCAGAGTTCGAAATTTCAGATGTGGGTTGCTTTTCAGATCAGCTCCTCATAGTGTCTCTCTAAAGCCAAGTCTCCATACATCACCTCAGTTTGGGGGAGAGGGCACATCTGGGCCGCATAAAGCTTGGTGCAGTCATGCATATTTAGATATACAAGCCTCTTGTATTACTGTTGATTAGGACGCACATGGTGGCCGCTCTTTTGCCAGAGTCGAGTGGGAAAGAGTTTTCAGCCATTTGGGAAGAGAGAAATGGCTAAACCATCTGGCAAGTGACTCCACATTCTCATCCAAATCTAAGGACGTTCGTGTGCATGTCTGTCGTCCCTCTTCGAAACTTTCTGTGAACCTCTGATAAATAGTCCACCGTGCCTCTGTGTCTGTCAGCGGTCCACAGTGTGTTAAATGTTTTTTTTCATTGAAAACCAGAGTTCATCTGTTTTGTCCCTTTCACTGTCATCTAGATGATAAACCGCCCTGCTGAATGTTATACTTCTACAAATATGATAACACCATGATGGCATAAAAATACAAGCAATTTACTAGTCTTCACAGAACATCATCTCCCCACAACTTCACCAGCTTGGTTTGTCTCAGAGCCCTGAACCACAGACCGCTTAAACGCTTGACACATAATATCCTCTCAGTGACTACATCACATTAACAACACAGGCCGAAGGGACCGGGGCTTCTGGCTGAGCTTGCATGAAATTTATGATGTATGTTTTATTTGTGGGTCTCGCTGAAATTTGGTTTGAATCTAGTGGAAAATCCCATTTACACTCCATTTCCCGTCCTCCACGAGGACTAAGATGCGGGGCAGCACTTTAATTTGCTAATGGAGCGTTAGCTTTGTTGCACTGCATTGTGATTCATTATGCCTTGTTGTTTAGGCTTAGTGTTTTCATTTCTTCATTTTTAGTGTCGGAGGTGCAGCAGGCTGGGTTGCGGTAGCAAGTGGCTAGGACTGTCTATTATCTGTAGCCTCCTGCAAGGACAAAGCTGCGTGATCTGTCCAACAGAACCCTGGCGGAGGCCATAACTACAGCCCATAAAGGCCTCAGAGGTGAGCCAGCATCTGTCAGGTTAATCGTTCCCCCTACTGTTGATCCTTTTTTTTTCTTATAACAAATTTATTTGTGCTTATCTTTTCTGTACCATTGTACTGCCTTTAACAACACAGATAATTTATATGGTCACGGAGCTAATTTTCATAATGTTTTCTATATTATCAGAGGGAAAAATTAACCCAGGAATATATTTACATAGCAGGCATGAATGGTAACGGCTTGCTAATTGCCTGTTAGATGATTAATAAGCTTATAGAGATGCTAATGAACAAAGTACTCACTGTTTCAGAGGTGCTCTGGCAGTGCGTGTGTTTTGGCAGCTTAATTAGGGAGATAATTACATACTTGTTGATGCTGCTCTCCAAGCAAATGCCATCAAACATTAAAATTCATTAAGTTGAAATACAGCAATGCGGACTAATCAAGGTGAAGTGTGAGCACTTGGATTGTCTCAGAGGGAAATACAGAGGACCTTTAGAGTGACAGCTCGGATGATTGCTGTAGTGTGAGCTCTCCCTTGATGGAAAGATCAGCACAATTAGATAAAGCTATTTAAATATTATATTTTAAGCTTTAATGCATGTGTATACATTATGTACACTGATGAGCCATTACATTATGACCACCCCTAGCCGAGAGCATTAGGCATGCCTGGCAACCAAGATCATCGAGATTGAACCGTTGATGATTGGAAGAAAGTGGCCTGGTCTGTCGAATCAAGATTCCTGGTGCATCACGTTGATGGCTGAGCGTGTTGGTGTTGTTATGATCCATTTGATTAAACCTAATGGTATGGTTTGAGTCTGTGGATGAGCAGTGTAGCCAAGTTGTAAAGATCTGAGTTGGTGACCGAAAGGTCCAGGTGTGAACCCTGTAAGGGGCGCTCCATCACCACTGTGTATTTGTGCAAGACACTTAGTTCTAGCTTGCTCTAGGGGGGCTGTTCATGTACTTAAGTATGCTGTAAGTCACTATAGATAAAAATGTCAGTTCAGCTGCAAAGCACATGAAAGGATTTGTTTTAAAAGGAACAGTGAGCACTACAATCTCATTGACCACATTTATCTGCTCACTAACATTCTAAGAAGTGGAAAGAACTAAGTGGAATAAAAAAAGAAAAGCTTTTTCTCTTGATACTTTTCTTTCTCTATTCTGCGCGGTAGAGTTGCCAAATGAGCTTATTGCCCTTTGAGCTAATGTTCGGAAAGGTTGTTGTAATTCTTATTATTACCTCTCATTAGGGAGCAACAAAATCGCCCCCTTAATCAAACTCACTTTGTATCTCAACTAATGTGCTGTGTGCACAACACATTCATATACTGGCCCTCTCAGCAGAGTCCAATAAAAGTTATTCATTTGTAAAGCACCTTAAAACATTGCAAAATTACCTTTTTAGGAGTGTTGATGCTTTGTGAAACATAAAACAGGCTGTCGCCTTTAATGAATAACTCTTACACTAACGTGACACAGAGCACAGCATTGCTAAATTGCATAAACATTATAACCACTCATAAAACTCAATGAGTCCTCTCTTGTTTACCACAGTTTGGTTGCAGTGTTTGCCTAATTTAATGTTACATGTCTTTTTTTCACTTTAATCATTACCATCTGGCTGCTGAAAATGAAAGTAGCACATCAATGGTCCAATCTGCAAGACAAATAGAAAACGGATGCCTGCATTATTTGGTAAAGCTCAGTAAAGAGCCTCTGGATTAGAAGTAAAGATAACGCTGCTGAGCACATGCCACTGGCACGCTGTCAGATCACAGGCTTTAAGCTGAAGTGATTGGTATAATTTTTTATGTTAATTACAGTGCGGACAGAGGGGAGATCAGTTCGGTCTGGCATTTGCACAGTTCTGTAATTATAGATCAATCTGGCTGAGGAGTTGCGTAATCCATCCACACTTACAGTATATGTCTTGCTCTAGGGAGGATGTGTGTCTGAGTGCTGTAATACAGGATCAGATGAAGAGCTAATCTGAGATAGCGGGACAGACTGTAAGGCTGACCTCAGATCAGTGTTTGGAGTGGCCTCTTAGACTCAGACAAAACACTTTAATATGCTTGTCATTCAAATCAACATCTTGCATCTCTGTTTACTTTATTCCATCATTCAGACTGGTCATAGTAGTCGAATTTGCTGGATGAATCTCTCCTATTATCTCATTTCTGTAAACTATGGGTTGATCAGAGACAAGAGCAAAGACCTGAGCTAAGCAAACCTTTATTCTAGGCTGGTATCCAGGCTTGCTATACCATTAAGATGTCTAATACATTCTGATGTCAAGCTTATATTGTCAAATAAAGAAAAATGCTTTAAAACCTGTTGGAGAACGTATTGTTGAGGCATACTGGAAAGGACGTATTTGAGCCGTATCAAAGTAATAAAGATAAATGGCTGTTGGAAGTCTGACTTTTTCTCTACAAAGCACTGTGGGAGAACCGTCACACCTCACTGTGTTTCAAAACTTTTCAGTGTAGTGCACCACCCAAAAAATATTGCATTTCAACAAGCCCATTTTCAGAAGGGATGGATGGATGGATGGATGAATGGATAGATAAATATTATGTTGTCCTAAAGACAACTGTCTACCGATTTGTGTAGTTTAGTCATACACATACATTAGGAAATAGACTGCTAATTTTCCCCCAATGTTCCTAAAGGTAAAGTAAACAGCTTGAATGGATTCAGATAAATAGCATCAGAAAATGTATGAAGCGATAAACAAAGCTCCTGCATTATCCAGTGTTATGAATATATAATTTCTATATATGCTGCTAACAGATAAGCCCCTGGGGAGGCAATAAATGACTTGGCAACCTGTGATATTTATGCATGAAATTCCTGTTACATTATGAATGCATATATTTAGATGTGGCATCACAGTGACAGGTTCAAGGTAACTGAGTGTTCACATGATTCTGCCCTCCTTTCTCAACCTACACACTGACATTTGCACCGAATATTAGTTTATGGAAAATTACATTAGCTTAACACATTTGAATGGAAGGAACATGTGTTTGTTCACCTCTCACAAGAACTTCTGCCTCTAATTTCCTGTATCAACATGCAGCCAGTGAATGTGTGCCTACACTATCAACAAAAACAGCTTGATGAGAGTGCCACTCCACTGCATCAACCAGGCCAGATCTTAATCACTCTTCTCTCAGAAGCGTTAAAGAGCTCTATCAGTGTTGATCTGTTGCCACTGAAAAAGTGATCTGAGAATAGTAGAGTGTGACTCACACTAAATGTTGATAGTCCTCAGTTCATTTATAGTGCAGCAGATTGTGTTGCTGTGGTGCGTGAGAATCGCATGAACTGAGTTCTTCATTCTAATACACTCACATGGAAAGTGAGCAGAAGTGCAGGAGTGAAGAGAACCTGCCTCTGACAGGTGGTTCAGCTGACAGTTAAAAGCGACAAAGAAAAAAAAGTTCAAAGCTGTCACTGTGACGGTACCTTTTGGTCAGGGGTGCCTTAAGATAACTAAAGGCCCCTGGGCTACAGCATTACAGTAGGCCCCCGACCCCAGAAAACCTTTTTTTTCTTCTTCTTTTTTTAAACTTCCTAACACTTATTTGTCAAATTTCGTTTTTTTTTTGTCTTGTTAATATGCCAGTTAACATTCACAACACTGTTCTGCGTAAAATGTGAATATAAGCGAATCTGCAAATTCACTCTTTGCCACAAGGTGGCGCTTGTGGAACAGCAGAATTATATAGCTGTTACATAAAGTAAACACTACATTATTACGGGCATTATACGGAGGTAATATGCAAGGAAAATGCCATCAAAACTTTCCTGGCTGAAATGTGAGTTTACAGGTATGATTTAAACACCATAAATCACACAAAATATTAATTATTCATCATCAGTAGATCAAAACAACACGGCATGTTGGCATAAATGTGGGTTATTTGGTGATTGCTAACTGCGTTTTTATTTTGAAACATGACGTGCTCACGTTTAATTAGTTAAATCACAGCCGTATAAAGTTTAATGATCACATTTAAGCAATAGGACAATTCCTATTTTTCCATCCCCAGATTTAAAATTGAGACTTTGAAGCAGCACTATTTATGGAACACAGATGACACACAGATTACATCCAAGCAAGTTACTGAACTCTCACTGTATGACATAACAGAACGTTGTCCGATCCAGTTCCTTTCACACAGCAGTGTTGTGTTTCTGTTAATCTGCGTGTTGACATAAAGATACTCTCGTGCTGCGGTTATTTACTAGCGAATGGATTGTACATTCCGCTTACAGTATATCGATGGAACACGTGGAACATACCAACTATACAAACTGTGTGGGGGAACCTAAACTGAGCCATTCACTATATAGGCTACTACAACCAGTGCGTCGCTGAAAATGAGTGTGTGAGTTTGTTTACAGAATGCTGTTGTCACTGCTGCAAACTCCCATATAAATAATTATTCAAAAAATATAATTTCCCTGCAGCCAGTGGGCCCCCTTTCCAGTGTAGGCCCCTGGGCTTCAGCCCCTTGAAGCCCGTGCATTAATGTGCCCCTGCTTTTGGTACAAAAGCTAAAATGCACATCTTTGTACCTTATTAACCCCAGAATGTACCATAAAAGGTACATATTAGTACTTTGAAAGTACATATTAGTACCTGAAGTGTACATACTACCTTTTGAAAGGGTACCATTTAGGGTAACAGAGTGTAGTTACAAAATTTATATTTTATTGATATGTGTTCTGCCATTCTCAGAGAGGAAAGGACATTTGATAGGTTTCTGTGAAAATAATGTAAGACCATGGGGTCCAAAATAGCACTTGCCTTTCATTGTATGACACATTTTTCAAAATATCTTAATTTGTGTTACACAGACAAATATCAATCATATAGGAACCCATACAGTCATACAACATGAGTGAATGAGTAAATGACACAATTTTCACAAAGGGTGCACGATCCCTTTAAATGTCCCTTTAAAAGCACAGATTGACATTTCATTTAACCAGGAGAGGAAAAAGAGAGAGTGGTATCAACCCCCTCAGCATCTAGTGTTATTGATTCTTGTTGTGCCAACATCTCATATGTGATCATTAGAGAACTTTATGTGAAGCTGTAAGATCATGACTGCAGAACATCACAATCCGTCTGAAAGAAAAAAGCATAAAGCTATTCAATCTGAACAACAAAGCATGAAACAGGCATAGATTGTGTCAGCTGTCAGCTTTATTTTTACAAATGTAAACATTGAGGGCCAAAATTAACAATTTAAAAATATATTTAGATTCTGTTTAGCAGATCTAATATTTTCTATACACATTCACTTTCCATTGGAAACACTGTCTATTTGAAAGTTTTTGAATAAATGCAACAGCATGTTTTCGGTTGAGAGCAGCTCCATTATAAAACAGACCATTAGACGACACTAACGCCTGTTATCGCTATGAATAAACAGCAAGTGTCTCATTATGCATCTGTGGTACTCCAGTACACACTGGGTCACTTTAGTAATTAATCACCTAATTACCAAGAGTGGTTTTTCTCGTCAACCAAGATGTGGTAATGATAAGGACAAATAAACAGCAGGGGTACAGAGGATAGAATTTCAATGTCAAAACAACAACGGACTAAACAAGTTGTAAAATAACATTTAGGTTGTTTTTTTAGGGTGTAACCAATATTTTATTTATTTATTTATTGTTATTTACATTCACAATAGAGCAAACAACTTGGGACTTGTTAAGCAATATCCTAAGTATGTACTGTATGCAACATTTGTTCTTCTATAGTAAAGGTTAAAAAACATTTGATTTCTAGTTTTACAGTGAGTTCTGTGCACAAAGTAAGTGGGAAAGAAGGAAAAACGTAATGAGCTGTCATTCTCGGCAGAATGAGATAGATACAGTGAGAATAAGAAAGGTGAAGATCTTGTCTCATCCTGGTAATATATGACACAAATGGGCACTGATCTGTCTCTCACCTTCTCTTTTTCTTCTCTTGCTATATAGAGAACTCAGACAGTGACAAGACATAAGAGAAAAGGATAAGGTGATGAATGGTGCTGCAGGATGGAAGCAGACAAAAACCAGAACAAGAGACGGAACCTGGTTTGAGTTGTGCGGGAAAAAAACAATTGTGAGTTGCATCTCCAAGCAGCACAGTAGTGGCGTTATTGAAAGAATCAGTGTTTTTGAACAAATCGTTTGAGTGAATAATTCAATGACTCGCACATAATGACAGTCACTTGTATGTATTAGAAGCATACATGTACTTTTTGATAATACAAGGTACCAGAGAAGCTGTTGACACACATACATATTCTCTGCTAGTGAGAAGGATGGCAGTGTGTGTGTGTGTGTGTCTGCAGCTGGCTGGCTGAGTGAGTGAGTGTGGAGTTGGTGGGATTAGGGGGAATTAAGTGTGAATGGAGTGAGTGGATGGCTGCTGGGATAATTCTGGATTAAAGAGATTAGGCTACAGCAGCAGGATGGAGCTCACAGCTGAGGCCCCTGCAGGTGTGTATGTCAACCCTAGGGAGAGACAACTACTCTGAGCTGCAATCCCTGATTCATCCTACACTCACTCCGCAATGGAAATTGGGCCCCCTTGCTGCTAGTCTTCATCACATTTCATCATGGAGCAGTTGCAAGCTTGTTTCAATTTTACTCTATCTCTTCTTGTCTGTATTGTAATATTCTTTTTCTTGCTTTTACATCAGCTCCGCAAGTCAGTGCTCATTTGTAAAACAGAGGCAGACAAGAGCGAACATGAAGCTTAGAGACATGACATTTTATTAAAATGTTAGGAATATATGTGCATAAGTTGATTAGGTCATGTCATTATTATATGATTATCATTATGAACAATGTAATTTTAGCAGTGGTCCTTAATGAGGGGTGAATTTGCAAGCACGTTTCACCCTGAGCAATTAACTAAAAGCCAAATGCAAGATTTGTTTGCTGCACTTTTTCTACTACGAAGTTTAGTGACATCTCCATTACCCAACCAGAATTTAATTTTCACTCATTTAAACAAAACACAGTGGTCACTCACTAGTCATCTCATCAAGTGTATGATGTAATATAATTGTAATATAAAAGTGTGTACACAATAAGTAAACTATGCTTTTAATTGACAGGCGTTAACATGAGTTGACATGGCAGTTGGTTTTGGGTGTGAACAGTCAGGTCATGTATTTTTTTAAATTTTTTTTTAATGTTTGACATGGTAGACAGTGTCATAGACTAGTTTCCAAAGAAAAAAATGTTAGTACAGTAGAGGCATTTTTATCAGAAGTACATTAGGAAGTTCTTATTCACAAATGTCTTGATTAGACCTTTTATCTAGTCCACTCGAAGTCACTTAACCTCAACTGTCTCTTTAGCTTTATATGATAAGTTATTTTTAATATAACCGTTAATTGCCAGGTGGTTATTATAAGGGCAAAGTTTTATGATTGATAAGGAAAAATATGACATAAGTTGCTATATAAGACTACAACTACCCCAAGGCTACGATTGTGCGTGCTTGATGATCTGACAACTTGTCCTTATATAGCAGTTTACATTAAGAAACGCACACAATGGCTTCATCTTTGAGGTTGGACTGTGCGTAATTTATGTTGTAGAACAAACCATGAAAGTAATGTTAACCACAGACTTTATTTTACTCAAAAACCCCAAACCGGCTTTCTATGTTACCAAAGGAAATTCCCAAGAGAGCCCATGGTGAATTAGCCTTCCAGGTTGGCCTACAAAATTGACATCCTGACTGAACAGCTCTATAAAAATGTCTTAAAGTGACAATATTAATTGTAATATATTGTATGTTATAAAAGTCTTCTTGAGTGCATAATTTATGAACTGTAACTTTTGGTCTTATTTTTAGCATCACCTGACTCATTCTGACATTGTGCCAAACCAAGTGACACTGTTAATGTAGACCCATCAACCAATTCTACTATCTTCCGATAGATTAGCATCTGAAATAGAATCACATTCTGTTCTTTTTTTTAAATTCAAAACAACATTCTGCATCATCACAACATCTCCGAAACGCTGTTCTGTTGTGCTGTTTATTTTCTTGCCTTGGATGTCAGCGCCATTGTTGATCTATAAGAAAGAAGATGTGGTTGTGAGAATCATCATGTCGGCAGAAATAATGAGGCTACCAAAACCAGTTCCCCTTGTGAAAGCGTCTTACTTTCACCACAAATGTGCACACACGTACACAGCCTTGTCTTGCACACCTATCCTGGTCAAAGAAACAAAAACATGAGTTCTCACTTGCTCATCTCATCTTGATTCACTTTCTCACAAATTATCATCTAGTCATATACCATGGTACAGCCACAAGTTTATTTTTAAGGTTGTTTTTTCTTCTCCAGAGTTGTGTGCAAGCGTGTTTGTGTGTAGGTTATCTCACAGGTTCAGCTGTGGTTTGGTGCAAAGATCTATAAGTGCTGAGTGAGCAAGAGAAATGTTTGCTCTTGTCAAACCTCACAGACCAGAAACCACACGCTGTCTCCTCTGCAAGCTTTTTTTTTCTCTGTTGTGCACTTTTGCAACATTCAAACTCACACTTTTAACTCATAACTCGAATCTCCCATAACTCACCTAACCCATAACTCCTTTTATGCTGAACTCAACACACACATAACTCACTCAGTGGCTCATTTATGGGTGCAACAATCATAAACATGTTAGCAGCTTGATGTATAAACTGTGACGGTGTGATGTGATTATGCAGTTAGTTTTCTTTTCACTCTATCACACCAGCTGCTTGAATTATTGATGCTCTTTCTTACAAGCTGCAGTTTGCATGTGTCGTTGAAATTGTTATGAGTTCTCTTTTCCCTTTCATGTCTTTCCTGCTGTCTTTGTTGCCTTTGACTTGTCCATACAAAATGATCTGCTGCTTTGTGTTGTCATGGCAACTGAGGACATCTACACAGTGTATTTTCTCTCATTGTGCATTGTCAGTTTAAGATTGTATTTCTATTACAATCTAAGATTGTATTCTTCAGTCTTGAATTTTTCTCTCTTTCAGTATTACAGTGTGGGTGATAAGCAGAGGTTTACGGTTCCAGGAGCTGTGCACCTCTCTCTGTGTAGGTGACAAATTGGATTTTGCACATATTGCCACCACTGTCATTGCTTTTGATGCATGTCAGCGTATCGAGGGATGTCGGAAGAGTGTGGAAGCTAAAAATACACATTCTGTGCCCTACATGGCACCTCTTGCTTTGTCTGTTTGTTTTTGTGAGTTCGTTCTACTCATACTAGTCCATGAGACACATACATGTATACACCTAATATAAACACAGTCTCTCACGCTTTTCACACATCTTATCGTCGTCTGAGGTTCGGTGAACATGCTCTCTCACGCATTTCATCTCAGGGGCAGTTAAACTCACACCAGCATGGGTAAAGTTCACACGCAATATACTGAGTGAAAAAACAAAAGACGGAGAACAACGCAGAGAAAAGAAAAAAAGGAAAGGGGAGGAAGATAGGTCACAACCACACATTAGCAGGCATGCTACTTGTCTAGTGAGAAAAAGAGAAGTGGATTGGAGTGTGTGTGTGGACTGTTAGTCTATAGGCAGGTGAAGGCAGTGCTGTGGTGCGAGAATGACTTATGTACATGTATGAAATCAACCCACAATTCCTCACTATTTATTATAGTTAAAGGTCTGTCAACTACTGATATACCTCATCCTCCCTCAAAGGAAAAATACTGATTCAAACAGAAATGTTCTCTTGGAACTGCAGAATGAGGTGATAGTGGCATTTTTTTTTTTCTGTGTGACATTATGTGGGCGTGCCCTATTTTTGCACACTTTGACCGGTTTTTAGCATTTGTTTTCCTGTGTGGTAGAAAATAGTTCAGATTTATATTGATATATGCTGCGTGAGTAAAAGAGAGACACAGTCTCACAATGCATGCAAAGTTCATGTAAAAATATATATAATGCCATTATATATAATACAGTAAAAACAGTAATATTGTGAAATATTCTTACAGTTTAAAATAATTATTTTCTGTTTTAATATTTTGAAATTAATCAATAAGTAATAAGTAATTTATTCCTGTGATGGCAAGGCTGAATTTGAAATTCAGCAGACATTACTCCAGTCTTCAGATTCTTTACAAATCATTCTAACATGCTGATTTGTTACTTGAGGAACTTGACTTGTTATTATCAATATTGAAAACAGTTGTGCTGCTTAAAGTTTTTGTGGAATCCGTGATGCTTTTGATGTATGTATATGTGTGTATATAAACCAATTCAGTACTGTAAAAATAAGAGTGTACTGCAACGGATGAGCTAAATTAAAAATTTAACAACCATCAGTCCCCATAGCTGGTTTTAGCCGGTGAGCGTGATCTCACCAAGTACAACATGTTCCTGGATCAACATCCTTGTTGATCCTGGAACAACATTCCAATTAACCAATCAGAACTGAGGGATAACTTTTCAGTAAATGTCTGTTTTAGGCTTACAATCAGGATTAGGTGCTTCAAACACCCTTGTTAATCAGCTATCATTTCACACTGATTTTAGGAATAAATTATGGGTAGGGTTAGGTTTAGTGGTAGGGATTGGGTTTAGTCTATTTTTGGACCGTAATGTTGATTCAGGATCAACAAAAGATGTTGATCCAGGAACATGTCTTACATGGCAAAATCACGGTGACCGGTTTTAGCCGCATACAGGCTTGTTACATATCACCTTTTGGTATGTTTCCTCCTTTGTTGGTCTCTCTCTTCACGTCATACACACATACACACATGCACAGCAGCCTTCCACTGAGCTCTAATGATCCCACTTCCCTTTCTCTGCTTCTCTCTCTCGCTCTCTCTCACCGTCTCACACACACAAACACGTCCTACACATCACCCTGACACTGTTGTGCTTCTCTCTTTTTAAACCACAAATTATTTAAATACTGAGGAGGTGTTTTCACCTCCGAGAGAAAAGCAAGCAGCGTGTTATCTGTGTGGGCTATGACACACTTTGAGACTGAGAAAAGCTTGTTACGAACACCATGATCTCTAAGATGAGTGTGAGAAATTGTGCATAAACT